ATTATGACAATTCTAGTTTTAATTTAGAATTGAATAGAATATTTCACAGTAATATTAAATAGAAAGGAAAGTGTATTTTCTCCCTTTATCATTACTTCCATAAGCAACGCATAATAACTTTATTATGTTATAAAAAATGGATTTTATTCATTTCTCATCGGTCAAAAGAAACAAATATCGCTTGATGAATGTTGCATGATAATATTGGAGTATAAGATTTTAATTAATGGAAAGATGACTATGTCTGTTTAAGTATCCATAGGTAAGTCAACGAAGTATTATATTTTCCGACTAGATACGAATAATGTGCTCGATACAGTGTCAGACTACCAGTTCTAAGGCATAATTTTATTCCGTCTGTATTATACCTTCATGCTATATGACATAGCATCGGTATATTGATTATCATTCATGGGATAATATGAAGATATTAAGATATCAAATCTAATAGCATGAGTAAATTTGGTTTAAAAAAGAAATATGTTATCGTATCATACTAGAATTTGATCTTTTGTTTATGTGTGCAGCACAGATTAATGTGATTTGTTATAATATACTAATGTCATGATCATACAGTAGATTGTATAAATATGCTAAATAAAGCTAACTTTCTTTATTGATAGTTGAATGATTTAAAAAGCAAATAAATTTTTAATTTTGCATAATAATGTGTGATATATCAAGATAATTAATTATTCAGGGAATGATAATCGGATAAATTTTAGTTTAAATGCACGTTATGCCATTACTCAGATATTGTATTACTTAATTCCAGAATCGCATTCTTCTAAATTTGAGATTTAACTTTGATTTATAGTTAATGTTAGCAACTGTAAAGTAAGTTAATGTGAAACTCTTTATGCTATTACATAGCTTATGATGAAATAGGAAAGAAGATTTATTAAATATCTATTAATCATTTACACGCGAGAGGAATGAATTCAACAAGACTTTAAAATAATTGTACACGACGAATAAAGTAAGAACTGGGCATTATAAATAAACTGTATTGAGTTCAATGTGGTAATTAACGACTAGCCCTACGTGATATCCCAAATTAAATGATTGCATTAATTATATCCTTATAAATACGAATTAATAAAGTTAGAACATGATAAATATAGTTGAAGGTTAAAATTAAATTTGAAATGGTCTTTATCATAATACAACAATCTTTTCGTTAATTGAATTTTCGATATTAAAATACTACCGGTGAAATTAAATTAATGATGTTCTTGGAATGTTATTAAAAATTCTTATGCAAGAATATGATATTGATTACGAAATCTTGCGGTAGTTTCATTAATAGCAAGTAAATTAGAATAATAATTATACACATTGTTATCTTAATTATGAATTGTTTTTATTATGCTGTTATCTTTTTTGAATGGGCTAGCTATGCTTTAGTACCCGGTAAGGATTTCAATGAATGTAAGACTGTTTTATTTGCATATTATGATAAATCCTTTATTAAATAAGCGAAAAGGCCTGCTATAATATTAAAATACCAATCTCAATATAAAATTAAAAATAATTAATTTTAGCCAAAGAAGAATGATAGAAATTCGAGTACTCGTATCTCACTTAAGTATGTATATTACAATCAGCGCATACGGCATTCGCAGTATTCAACTTTTCTTCGTAAACTTCTTTACGTGAAAATGCAAAAGAATATGATTAGAGTTTATTTCAGTAATTTTTGGAATTGATCGTCAGCTTTGATGCTAATAATTGTTTAGTACATTAAGAAATCTTTCGATAAACACTTTGCTCTACCATGGCTATAGCAACATTTGTAGTCATGTACTAGAGCAGTTGTTTCTAATTTATGCTATCTTAGGTCATATGTACACTCAATGTAATAATGTGATTATTTTTATTGTAATAAGAGTATTACGGTGTAATAGACAGTGCATTAATTAATAGGATATTTCTCACTATGTTAAATTGATTTAATGGTTCCATCAGAAATTTTTTTTAGCACTTAAATTTTACTGAATGCAACATTTCTACTGTCACAGTACAGCTGGTTTATTGGTATAGATCAAAAAATAAATTTGACAACGATGTAGCTTATTTATTTATAGATCTACAGGCTACAGTTAGGATATGAAAGTTTATTGATCAATTGAATGAATGGATCAAAGAGTAATAAGAATAATTGGACTTGATTAGCAATATTTTTCCATCCTTCCACTTTTGGAATAATAGTTGTCTCGGCTGTTGCAATAGATATAATCTGATCTTCTTATTTTTACCACACGCATTATTTTCATGAGAAACATGGTTTTATCTATTTTAAGTCTCATTTATAATGTTTTCATTTCATAATACCGCCAATACATCCTCTGCTTTATTCTACCAAAGCACCTGTTTCGTTAAGTGAAACAATAAAAATAGTAACATTTCTGAAATGTTGTTATCATAACTTATTTGATTATCATCATTGAATTGTGCTACAAATTACTGATACGATTGCGGTAGATGGATCTTGTATCACATTTTACTGTTTTATAACGTAGGAAGTTAAATTTATTTAACTCTTTCATTGCTATCATTGCGCTTAATTTAACGCATAAAAATTCTTCGTTTAAATTTTGATTTCCACTGTTACTGTCATGAATAGAAGGAATCATTTAATGTGGTGAAATCAAAATAAATAGGTGTTTAGGTAAATCACTAAATCACAACGGTATTCATTTAAAAGTTAAAATAAAACAATGAATATTTGATTACCAGAATTACGAAAGATAGAATATAAAAATTTGAAAATGTCTGTCTTGTTCAATATTTATCATTGTTGTGTATCGGAACTACCCCAGCTTCCGTTTGAGGAGTTAAACTTGTAAGAACATCCTATTTAGATATTGAAACAATTGGTATGTTGCTAGATAAGTGGTAATGTTTGTTCTGGTTTCTAGTGCGTATACCCGGTGGCGCAGGTGCTTTCGATATAATTGGTGTTTCATTTTAAAGTTGTATGGGAATACAAACAATGAAATTATTCTAGCTAATAAAAAAAGAATCAAATTTTACGCCTTATCATTATAAATTTGAAACGTTTGTGGTATTCTAGCGTATACCGATATCTTTCACGATAAAGAAAATAAAAAACGAATGAGCCGACAAATTGAAGAAGCAATTAATTACAGTTTGCATTACATAATATTCAAAATTGATGCTGCAAAATGCTTCTGCAGCTAATTCAATGAACTTTTCATTAAACTTTTATATAATTGCTGTTAACATCAAACTTGATCCATGTATCATTACTATAATAACAATTGTAACAACCCACCAAGACAGTTGGGAAATCGGTCTAGCAGATACTAGGTAATAAATTTATTTAAAGTATCATTGTGCTTCAATTATAACGGCTTATATAACGATGTCTTTTTTGATACTTCCTGTACGCAATAGCGGTGTTTAAAAAGATGCCCACCTGCTTCTCTTCTGTAAACAGCTTCATAATTATTTCTTGATCGCTCATTTTCATATAAACAATTAGCAATAAATAATAAAAATCAACCATGCGATAAGTCAGCAACTAACAGGAAAACTTACTGTTTAGCTGTAGAAAATAGTCATAAATAGTCTTGTTTCATTTAGTTATCATACATTATATAGTAATGATTATAAATGGGTAAAATCAGCTGATGATCCACAGAATGTCATATTATTGAGTAAATATTGAATTTAGTTAATTTGGTTTGGCTCTAGATCACGTCAGTTCGATTATTCATAATACAAGTTGATATATATATACACCTTCTGTACTCGTGTGCCTGGAGTACGTTAGCACTAAGATTTATGCGATTATTTTCATACGGTCGTAATACTCAATAATCGTTTTGTGCGAATTAATATCAGGTACCGGCCGATACTAAAATTAAAAAAATGTTATGGCTAATATCTAAATAAAGTATTTAATTGCAATGCGTGAGAATAAATTTGTCAATAAAGAACATTGTGATTACCTGGGAATGGTTTATCTCACATAATAGCTTCGACATTATATATGGGTGATAGGTCGATAATTTAAGGGCAATTTCGGGTTAATTTTGCCTATGGAAGGTTTGTGAATAGAACATATATGAGTCTATTGTTCACTAATAACCCCCATGGGAATGCTGATGATATTCAAACGCATGCATTTCGTGTCGATAACTCATTTATAAATGAATTAATTATCCTTAGGATTCCTTATTTTCATGACAAACCTTTGCAATAATTGATAGAACTTTCGTGGAATTTGCTGAGCTGTAGTTAAAAAGTTATTAAGGATAATAAATGGTTGCTTCCTGTTCCTTACAGTATAAGTATGGTGTATATGGAGATATCATTGTTTGACTAAAAATTGTGACTTTTACCACATCATTGTGTATGATTTTGCTAAAAATCTTTTAAGCCGCTGAGTACTTGCATTTGTAAAAGCACCACCAAACAATATCAAAATCTACAGTTGTAGATACTAAAGGTAGAAAGGAGCTATCTTACTAAAGCGTACCATATGTTGATTCTTTGGGATTATAGGATAGGAAATGGATTTTCTAATTACAGTGGAAAGATATAAAAACCAATGGCTAATAATATTAAAGCCATAAAAAACTGTGAGGCAAATCTTCCTTAAGAGCTTCGAAAGATAATCAGTACAATAAAGTGTCTTCTGGCAGAATCTTATCGACAGATCTGAAACCGAAGTTTTGCTCTGCTTGAATCGAACAAGATTAAAATTACCCGCAAATTGCAACTTGCTTGCGCTGCAAATCAGTATAGAAGAAGTCCTAGTTTTAGCATACAAAATAATAGTTTATTTGCGAATTGCAATCATCTGTAGAGCCTTAAATCAGTTTCAGAATCCCATGGCTTTCAGAATAAATACGTACTTTATTAATTACAAAAGTTATGATGGGTTTAGCTTACAAAAATTTGCATGTTTCAGATTTATCGACTAGGTTTGCACATAGAACTGCTAGTGCTCATACGGATATGAAGCAGAGCTAATTAAGAGTTTGCAGTTGGTAAACGCGATAGCCTTTTTTTAATAGATAACCTTGATTGTTTAACGAATAGATTAAATCGTCAAAGTTTGCCGTATCGAAAGACGCATCCTAATAAAGATAAAGAAGGCAAAAATTATATTAACAAGATATATCAAAGGCAATTTAAAAATAGCAAAGTTATTTCGAAATTACTCAGCTTATAATAAATACTGATATAAAATTACATTCATCTAAATTTTTATTTTACCCTGGCTATTTTCGACATTTCTTGTACGGAAAATATTGATTTGCCTTCACGGCCGGCAAAATTATTAAGTATTCCAATAAATCGTTTGCCCCTAGATCTGCTACTCATCCCCGAACCATTTTGGGAACGCTGAAAATCTAATCTACCATATTCATCCGAGAATATGTCAAGCATGCTAAGGTAATAATTGGTGTAGATATTTAAAATTATGCGACACCTGTTTCCTTAGAAATCGTTTACGCACATCATCTAATATTGTTACATCAGCATTTAATACGAAAGATTCTACACCTATGTTTATACTTAATAATATTTTGGCAGTGTGATTGGCTAATACTTACCTGTTCTTCATAATTTCGATGACATCAAGTGCGTCTTGTTTAGTAGCCTCAACTCTCATCTCCAATCTAGCACGAGCCTACAGCGGAGAATAAGCTATTAATGTCTGTTACAGATGATGCTTTTAATAGCAATTATCAGAAATATGATCTACCTCGGTCAGACGAATAAGAGATTCTAATTGACGAGTTGTGATTGGTGTGATGTTTGAACCATATCTTTGTTGACGAAGATTTAAATAAAATTCCTATAAATGATTCACAGTGGAGTAACTTCAGCACAATTTTACAATAGCTCTATCAAGTGCGCTTGTACAGTATTCGATATTTTATACCTGTAAGATATCTGCAGCTTCTTTCGATAGCTTGGGATGGACATACAGTCGCGTATAGGAAACATACTTTTGATAATAAATAATACATACCGAAGCATTCTAGTTAGCACGATATTGGTCTGCAAAGCTTAATTTACAGACTTCAGCTATAGTATACGATAATTTTTCGTGATTTAAAATGTTTTGGGGTTGGCACGACGTAGTTCAAAGGTATTTACCTTTCGAAGTAGCGTTGCAGGGATAGCTGCAAAACTTTCGCCTCGTCTTATCTAATAATACATAGTAGGATCGAGAAGTTAGCTGAGGACAGGAATCAAATGTAATAATAATATACCATACCTTTAACGTTTGCACTAGTGATTCTTCTGCTTCCAGTTCTGATTGTGAGTCACCGCGCTATGATTTGCGTCAAATCCGTATGATATGAAGTAGTTAGCTAGCACTATTGCAAGGTACAGCACTAAGGGGTTTCAAATGACATAGTACTGCAAGTATTGACCAAACCTGAGATAGACGTCGAACAGTAGCTTGCAATACATTTCCATGGGAACTGAAATAAGTTATATCCTTGTTTAGATATATGATAGGAACTTAATACAGTACAACGGAGGGATTATCACATTTCTTATATGGCGATAGAAGCGATTGTAGGTTCTGAAAATTATGCGTACAACTACGGAATGGCATTGTGTCATGAAATCAATTGTACAAATTATAGCTTGACTGGTAACTTACTCAATTCCAGAATGGAGAGACATTACATGTTCAGATATCATGCTGTCCATGTCCTAAGTATATTGAAGGGATAGTAAATTGATAATTACTGTATTTTACAAGCTTCAAGTTATTAATAACCTACCGCATCGGGCTTATCGAGAAGTATAAAAACCTGCTCATTAGAGAATAAAAATTGTAATTTTAACAATATGATCTAGAGCAAGTATTTTTCATCTGATAATAGTACGTATACTTTTACCAGGTCGAATCTAGACAGCAGCGCGCTGCCTAACCTAAATAAAATAGAGAATATATGCTTAAGATATGGTTTCTTTCATTTCAAATAAAGCTACAAAATCGACAGTATCATAAGGGATAAATGCATCTGTAATATTTAACGCAAAAATTGTGGTATGGACATACTTCAAATTTTCTGAAACTGTTTTAGATAAATCATAGTGCCCTCCAACAGGATTTGCTGCTGCGATAACTGATGTTCTTGCTGGTAAACTAGCGTTGGAAATTTCAAATAGATTTATGGCGCTACATGAAATGCATTATATAGTAAAGTCGATATACCTGCAAGTCACTCCGGCCTTCGCTATACTAATACTTTGCTGTTCCTGTAGGAGTAGAATCAGTGTAAAGGTTTTAGTAGATATTTAATACCAGCAGACTGCGTAAAGTTGTCATTGTAAGAATAAAAATAATATATTAATTAATCCATACATACCATTGCTTCTAAAAGTGCTTGATGCTGATTGGACATCTTATCAAATTCGTCAATACAGCAGCATCCTAAGTGGTAAGTTTAAAAGCAAGTAGAATTTATAGCAAAAGTTACCAAAAAATTTCGTTAAAACCTGCTAATACCTTGATCAGCCAGAACTAATGCCCCAGCTTCCAATGAGTAGTTGCCCGTAGAGCCGTCTTTCGTAAGAGTGACCTAAAGAGAGATTTAATGCGTTTTATAATTTCGTACTGTAAAATGCAATAATATACAGTATACGCTAATGCAAGTGATGACGATCATTGCTAGAGGTCTTACCGTCAGACCAGATTTCGTGGTAGTGTTTCCACATACGTATACGCCTCTCGGGGCTATATTTGCTACAGCCTGCAGCATCTGAGATGGCAAATATAATAAGAGTGTACTGTAATTCAAGTATTCTTAACTTGTAATTTCTTTGTTTTCAAGGCTTATCGTACTAACTTGGCTTTTGCCAAGGCCGGGATCACCGATTACTAGCATATGTGGGTCTCCACGAACTGGAATGTTGTTCTGTAATTAATTACATATTAAGTTATTATATTCCCTATTTAGCCTAGATAATCATCATACATTATGACGTAGAATTGCTTTATAATTACGTAAACGTACTGAATCACTCAGGTATTTATGTCTGCCTCCAAATAATGCCAAAGCAAGACCAGCCTTAACCATCTAAAGTAGAGATTTGAATTAATCGTAATCCAATGCGATACCGTATATGTCGATAAGTAAGTTTTCAATCTAGCAGGTTCATGCATGAACTGAGCGTTGTAACAAGAATCGTAAAATCGCCAAAACCTACTTCATGGCCGTATATTGAAGGACAAATGGATCTATTCGTATTTAAATTTTAGTCAGTCGCGCATTTTACCAATTTCTTATTATACGTGCGTATTCTTACTGTAAGCTATGTAAAATATTTCGTACATTACCCAACTATTAATCGAAAAGGATTTTCAGCGCCATGAATTTCGCTTATACCAAATAGTTCCTAGAATACATAAAGGTTAATAAATTATGTTGACAAAATAATAAGTCATCTTTTTAAGTAGCATGTTCTAATAATAGTCGGCTTCATACTGATCACAACTACTTAATAAATTACCTTCATTGAAAATGCAGCGTTATCATTAATCGGGTTAAGCGAGCGAAGTGATTTTTTCTTACTACTAAAGTTTTCTAGGTGATTCACATTGATATATAAGAGATACATGCATTTATCTTTGTTCTTGTTGCGACCTTGATGAAGGAAGGCAAAATAAATGTTTGCTTTGCTTTAGTATGGTATATAGTCGATTAAGAAATAGGATAGCAAGATAAATTAAATTTAGGGTAAATTTCGAAACCTTCATCGCTGCTTATGATTTTAACTATTCCAACAACATTTACTAGGTCTCCTGGAACGCAGCTACTAACTAGTAATAGAATGAATAATTCGTAAATTGACATAAATATTATGTAAAAATTAGTTTAGCTGCTACTATAATCGCCAACAATGGACTAGTAATCTTACAAACCGATATTGCCGATAAGTTCACATTCTACGGTTCTTGGAACACGACCACTTTCTCTGCGGTCATCAGATATTATTTCTTGAACTCTGAAACGAAACTTCTTTTATTATGCTATAATTTTACTTTTTTACCCGTTTAATTTTACCTGATTGTTTGCCAGTCTACCGTTGCTGTATGCTTGGAGCTAACGTCTGGACTAAAGGATCTTCCTTTACATTCAGATGATACACACTGAAATATTAGAAAAAGTGAGAATTTAAAAAAAGATATAGGTTGCAATTGATTGTAAGGATTATCTAGGCAACTAAATAGACATAAAAGAAGAAAGATGATACCTTATTGGGAACTTTGTAGTTGCCATCCAAGAATCTCATAACCTAATTAATGACAAAATTTACATGCAATATATTTTACTTACTGACACTACGTGTTCCAGTAATACGTGTAAATAAAAGGCAAGATATTAATTCTGAACCTGCATGTCACCGCAAGTATTACATGTAAACGCCATTTGGACTGCGAGGGGCTTAATGTTGCTGACACGAACAACAGTTCCATGGACTGCAACCAGTTTACCTTAAATTGCGTAGACAGTGTATTACTGAGTAAGGATTTCATGAATATTCTTATATTATCTTTATAGCATATTATACAGTGCAGTATCATAAAATTGCAAACGGGGAATAACTATGAAGATAACAGGAACTGCGCACTAAACTTCAAGAGAATGCTCGGGAGACAATTACCATAGTAATTAGCCTTCAAGCTCTTTAGCGGGATAACCGGTTCGTAGTTAGAGATTCTAAACATGTAAGGATATTAGCCATTTTTCAGTATAATACAACAGATATAAATTCTTGTGATAGGTTTGAAGCAATAGCATGTTGCTGATAAAATTCCACGCTATCGCACTAAACCAGTACCTAACAGATATTTTTGGTAACGACTCCTTTCGAAATGGATAAAGATCTTCTTCTTCAACGTCATGATCGTTCACGGTACCATATCGAGCCATACTAGTCAAGACCTACGGGTATATTGCCAATTTCATATAGGCGTCACGTTAAGACAAAGTCAAATGGTAAACAGCACAAGGCTTAATTCATTTAAAACAATATAGAAAATAAAGTATAATGTAGTCAAGAGAACTAGACAAATCTGAGGGTGGATTTACGTACTTCGTAAGCAGCTAATCCCATACAATTTATAATTTTATGGGGCTGTTCCGTAATTTCATCTGCTATGGATGGGCACTCACTCAGCAACTCTAATAAATCGGTAGTATGGAAATCGCTTAAGGTGATTTTGCTATTTCAAATACATGAAATATACGTAACATGGGCACAAACGTGCAATCTCTACAGTATATTAACAGAATATAAAGTACGAGATACCTTCATTTTCTTTTAAGTAGCCGAAGTCGATTACTAGGCTCTTAGTACTAAATATCAGATCGAGTTGTTGTGTCTAACAGAGTACAATGTAAAAGAAATAGATGTTACCATGTTTGATTGAGGTATAGAAAATCGTATTTACTGTTAACATTATATTGGTTAAAGGTTATACTACCTACTAACCTTATCTTCATCATATAAATAATTGGTAAAAAATTTCATAAAGGCTTTAACTTTATACGCAGCGTCAGAACTGGGTGAGTAAACTGGAAGATATAAGATATAATGAATTTACTTGTCGAAACTGGTATACTCAAGTACCTGTTAGTCTTAATTTAGGCTTCTAGCGTACACAGTATGTAAGATTTATGAAAATTCTAATTATCGACATTTGTAGCCATAATTTCTTAGCTTACAGTATTTACTACGAAATTAATTTTAAAGAGTAGCTATAATACGTATTGTTGAGTGAGAGTCCAAAATTGAGTTGAGTGCAGGTAGAATATAGTACTTACGTTCCTCATCGAAATATAGCTTCCATCCCTCGTAAGGGCTAGGCGTTAGTGTGGTCTGGGTTAGACGTGGTGTATGACCAGGATTTTTTTTCTTTTTATCGATAATTTTTTTATGTCCTGCAGCTAAAGATGAAGTTGATAATTTTAACAATAAGATACATTTTATTTTTGCTGCTTTATTTAAAGATCAATCTTATAGGAATCTTAATTATATAATAATTGTTGATTCTTTGGTAATGCTTATAAAAAATTTCGTTATAAAAGTATCCTAACTATTCTGTCTACAGTAGTCTTCAAATCTAATTCTTACAATTCATAGTCTTAGTAGAGATAGAATTAAAAAAAAAGACTTTTATTACAAGGTTTTAGAATAGTAGAGCCATAATTGAATAGTAACAACAATCTAAAGTCAAGTAGAATGAGCTCGAAGTGAGGTGAAGTCCAAGATCCTATCTGTAGCTCTCCAACAAATTTACTCTACAGGTAATCTATTTACGGCAATAAAGCAGCCAAACAATCAGAGTTGAGTTGTCAAATAGAGAACACTTCTCTTCCAATAGATTATCTATTTACCGTACACATCTATCAGTTTGAGATACCCTACCCGTCTACAGTATCAATGTCTAAATATGTAATATGTTGGACATTTTCATAATTAGAGTACATCAATTCGTGTAGTCGTTGAACCTTACTTAGTTATTAACCGACTACTATTGGTGATTAGTAATCAACAATGTCTAATATCCAGGCTGACGGTAACACATCATGAAACGTGAAATTAAGATGTTACCTTTGTTGTTTTTGAATTTGTCATAGAAATGTTTCTTTTTCCAATATGCAGTAGTTTTATTATTGGTGTTACTTTTGTCGTTCCGTTTTCCAGGTTGTTGGCTCATGATGGGCAAAACGAGAGGTAGAGGATCTAGCAGTGAATCAACATTTCCTGTCAGTTTCAGTGAGATACATGTATGGAGAAGGTTGTTCGTTATCTACTTGTTGAATTTATCTGAATACCATTGAAGATTACTTTTCATTCTCTCAATTAGAGAATACGCCAAAGACTGGAATACGAAGTAAAGTAATAACCTAATGTAGATTGCATACATACCTTATGATAGAAGCTGTTTACTCAACGAGTCCAAGTTATTCTTAAAGCGTACAATGTACCCTAAAATTTTTCTATGGGCAATACAATGAATCGGTGAAATTGAACTTTTACATGCTAATAAAAACAAGACAGTATTGCATTGCAGCCCCAATTGCTAGTGACCATTTTACCAACAACCTTGTACTCTCTATTTTAATAATAAGTTTCATTTCGGTATTGTAGCACCATTCTATGCAGTCTATTAACAATATTGTCAAGAGCTAGGTGACACTAAACGCTAAGACAAGAGAAATTTTCAATTTGTTTACAGATTTAGAATCATCTATTACAATCGATAGTAAGATGAAAGAGATCCATTCTATCATTTATGGATAGAAATTTTAAAGAACGGATGTTCCTCATTGGCAACGGCAGTATTAATTTACTTCAGTTCAATTGCAAGATTCCAATGACTAAAATGTAGTCGAGAACACTGAGTTATCAAGTTTTCGTCAGTGAATTTTGCCAGTGAATTTTCCGACTTGAAAATGTTGTTGAAAGCGACTATCGACGAATACAGTGATGTTGTCCAATATATATTGTACAGTATGTAATTTCCAATCTTATTCAGCAGTCATAGCAGCAACTATATTGCTAAGTATACTAGGGAAGGATTAGTAATGCTAATGCTACTAACCTTTTTTCATGGCTCTTTTTTCACAAAAGTTGCGTCCTCCATTTTTATTCTTAGCTCATCCAGTCAGGGTAAAGGTGCCAAACACGTCCGCTCAAGTTGATGCGTTGGAGGTGTCAGTTGTATGTAGGCTGCACGCGCCGGTGTATGACATATACAGTCTAGTATTTAGCGCCAATTTTTAAAACTGGTCCTGTACCGTAGTCTGTCCGGTAGTTAAGGGTCTCTACTGTACGGCATACACTACAGTACAACAGCTTTGGTGACTACTGAGTTGTGAGTACAGTGAGCGAGTGAGGACGGTCAGCGACCGAAGACGTCACACATATGCAGTTGAAGCTAGTTGAAGCCTTGATGACTACGCTAGTCTATCAACAGACCCAAAACGAATGGCTGGACAGTGGACACACTATACTGAGTGTACGTTTTTATTGACCTTAAGGCATACACTACAACAGCTGTGGTGACTACTGAGTTGTGAGTACAGTGAGGACGGTCAGCGACCGAAGACGTCACACACATGCAGTTGAAGCTAGTTGAAGCCTTGATGACTACGCTAGTCTATCATTACAGACGTTACAGACCCAAAACCAACGACTGGACAGTAGACACTCTATACTGAGTGTACAGTAGAGACCTTAAGGCATACACTATAACAGCTGTGGTGACCACTGAGTTGTGAGTACAGTGAGGACGGTCAGCGACCGAAGACGTCACACACATGCAGTTGAAGCCAGTTGAAGCCTTGATGACTATGCTTGTCTATCAACAGACCCAAAACCAACGACTGGACAGTGGATACACTATGCTGAGTGTACAGTAGAGACCTTAAGGCATACACTATAACAGCTGTGGTGACTACTGAGTTGTGAGTACAGTGAGGACGGTCAGCGACCGAAGACGTCACACACATGCAGTTGAAGCTAGTTGAAGCCTTGATGACTACGCTAGTCTATTATTACAGACGTTACAGACCCAAAACCACGACTGGACAGTGGACACACCATACTGAGTGTACAGTACTAAAGGAAGAGCAATCGCTGCTAGCCAACACACTCTTGCAACCTCCATTTAGTCCCTTCAGTGAAAGGGAAGTTGCAATCATTTTTCAGTGCTTTCAAACTGTAAAATTGGCTCAATCTCTTCAGTGGAAGCAATTCTTCTATGCTTGGAACTAATCCAACTGCTGTCTTTTCCTTTACTATTATTATCACGTAGAAAGACCATTTCAGAATAACTTAAAAACGATATTGAATAGCCATTAATGAAGGATGAATGAAGCAGCAACCCAGTTAACAGAGCAAAGTCGTTCGCCACTCAACGACTCGTCCAGTTCAATATCACAGACTTTGTTCACTGTAGTGAAACGATCACTGCTAGTGTCGGTTATTGCTAGCTCTATTTTATGGCTATCGATTCTGATTTACATATCATTTCTATACCTTTATCTACCTGATGCGGTCCTTACTAGGCCTGTTCATTTCCAATTTCGGTCAGTTTTTTTAAAATGAAGACACGTAAAACTACTGTCACTAGAAAAAGAAATGATCGATATTGCCAATGTGATAATTGGATCAAAGTTCATGTCATCAACTTTTCTTGAATACTGTAGGCGTGATTGTACAAATATGGATACATCCTGTTCATTCCCCACTGCCAATGTTTCTTTGCGTACCTTTCCAAAGGTAAATGCTTCTCACTTGAACGCATAAAAGTCATGCTAGCAAATACATTTGTTGACTTGAAATTTTCCCAACCAAGTTCAGTAAATGATACAAGTGTTATAGTGAGTGGCTCCTCGCCTAGATGTTGTTCTTGAAAACATCGCTGTATTCAGTATTATTATTATTAGAGGTTAATCGATAGAAATGAAGTGTTAGGCTTGGACAACGATATGCTAATGATGAACATGTTTATTACTGTAGAATAAAGAGACCAAATTCTTTACTAATTGCATGGAAATGGAAACTTTTCGCTTAAACAATCGTAATTACTGACCTGCATTCTGTCTCTATTAAAATTTAGCAACTTATGAGTGGCCAGGTATATCGAGTTAGTTTAATCTTGGAAATGCCAGAATCACCTGTCAATAAAGATTTAGGTATTTTGTTCTCTAACATGTACTAACTCACTGTATTACTACTGTTAGTATTGGCGATAGCTACACATTAGCTTAGTTATCATACTTGGGTAATCTTTGTCATTTAATTTTGCTATTGCAATATGAAAATCGTAAATGAATGGCTATCCAAAAGTATCATGTTATGTGGTCATTACAGTCAAGATATAGTTGCTGGTTGAATGAAATACAATAGCAACTCCATAGTATATTTTCCTATAGACAACACATAAAGATATAGTCAGATTTAAATATGTGATAGCATGTTTGAACTAATTTACGCGTATGCTCAGTCTTGAGTAATTTTAAAGTGCGTATATCAAAATGTTCACTAAGCATTTGCGTTTGTTTGCGATAGGAGTGTTTATGGTAAAACTTACGTTTGCCTCCAAGGAAAACTATAGAGTTACTACCTCTTCGCGTCCGGTAACTACTATTATAATAGTCATATCGAATAAGGAGTATACAGTATGATAACATTCACGATATTACAAAGATCGTTCTATACCAATTTGCATATCATTAAAAGCACTTTAATTCATTAACTTATGTTATTAATTTAGGCTATACTTCGCCATAAGTCGTGGCTTTTACATTTTTTCTCGACTACCTTTTTTGCAATGCCTCTACTTACTGGATTCTCCGAAGAAAAGCAAACTATAAAAGTAGATCTATTTGAAAACTTTTTAGAAGATACGGTAAGCTCGTTATGATTAAAGTACATCAAGCTGTCTCTTAGTGTTGAACTATAAACCTCTATGTATTGATCACGTAAATATTGAGGTACAACATTACAAATCTGTATCCACTCATACTGTACAGCACATATAGGCATTTCTCTTGTATGTTGTGGCGTGTATACGAAAGTTAAATGACGTATTTTGCACGCTATTTTATCGCTAAGAATTCATCATTGCTATACTTTACAGCTCCGTCCAGCAGCTTATGCTCAGGTCGAATTGCAAGCTTTAAATATCGAGATATATTCGGCTTCATTGATTATTAATGCCCGCTTTTCCGGCTTAAGGTTTTTGATATGTCTCTATTTTAAAATTAACTTCTACATTAGATATTGTGATAAATTGATGTATTTTTTATGCTTAGATGAATATAATTATGATGTAGTAAATACGGTAGAGATAATGTCGATATTAAGGTTGCATGTAAACTGTCTTGCTAGTAGTATCATATAGCTACGTGGTGTAGTAGACGTGCACTTATTACCATTAAATTTTTAACTATGTAGGTATTTTATGTATAATTGGCCTCTAACCGCTGGTATACTGGGAGTATTGGGCAACTTTATCATGATTTCCATACTACTTCTCTTACTTTGGGATTCTATTTTCGAGGTGGTACAACGCGATCGTATTTTCGTTCCAATCTCCGAAAATAATCTTTCGAACGTAGAACGAATGCTAACTGATTTGGATCGATCGTATTTACCAGTATTTTGTGATAGTAACTCAGACTTACATACGAATATCGCAAATGCTATAGTTAATATTAGCAATACTGGCTTAATTCCTGCAGTTAGATTTGTGAGTTTATCTGCAAACGAGGTTCGTAGTGTACTTAGATCAGGTGATCATCAAAGATCAAGTCGTCGCTTTGAAGAGAATGATATTGAAAGCATCAGCTCTACGAATAATATAGATGATAATTCTTTAGTAACCGATGCTGATAATGAGGAAAAATCTGATCCCACTCGTATACAAAGTATGCCTACTGTTGGCAGTAGTACTCAGCAAGATGAAAGTACTCCAACGGAAAGGAATGATGATGATGATGATAATAACCTACAAGACACTGAAAGACAGATAAGGGATCTAGATGGTGATGATAATATCATTGAGAGTCAAGTGTCAGAATCGGTGCTAGAGGATAACGATAATTTGGTATTACGTCGTAGGCAACGAGCAAGTGTAACTGATGTATCATCTAACGTAGAGCTTGATTCTGAAGAATCGTCCAGAAAATAATATCGGGTGCTAAGATTGCGATGATTCGTTAGCTGACTTACATTTCAATTATACGTATATTGGTATATGATCAGCTAATGCAATATTTCTTATATCTATGTATGGTTCTACGGGCTTTATGCTGAAAAGTGGATCAAAGCTTTTGAATTGCTTAAGTTGTTCGATTTCATACTTTCGATGGGATAACCGTATCATATGCTAACGTAAGCTTTATTTATATTCTGATCAGTACAGATTTTCTGCAAATGATATCTACACTTATAATATATGGGAAGAATAAGAAAATTTTGTGTATCATATTAGTCGCTGCTCTAGGATCTGAATGCTTTATTTTATATAAACCTAATTTGAAATTTTTTTATCTGTCTTGCTGAGATACGTTTAATTGTTACGTTCGAATCATAATTTGAGCTTCTTGAGTTTTTGCTGCAATAATATACTGTATTACTTATAAAAATAATTGAATTGGATATACGGTATTTATTGCTTCCTGATAGTTTATATTCAATTAGAGTGCAATTATAAAAGATTCCTATCGACTTGAGTTGCTCCGTTTTACGGTATTTTATCTTCATGGCCATATTTCGCCAGATTATGGCTTGATAAATAAGAAATTTACTCATGTAATTTTATCAAAATAAAATTTATTTGATTATAGTAATAATTGTTGTGGATTTGTAATATGTCGATTTGGGCTTAGACATTATTTACAGTATTGAACTATTATTGTTTATACATACGTAAGTAGTCAGATGTCAAGTTTTTCAAAGTTGACAAAAAGATTGGAATGTTAATAGAATTCATTAATGATGGACTATGAAGGTATACTAGGCATTAATCCATGAATTAAGGCAAATACTCACTTTACATACTGTATAGTATAGTACATTATTCTAACTTTGAATATTTCAATTATATTCAATACAACATCTGTATATGTCAAAGTAAGATGGCATAAGTTTTTGGGATACTAATGACGGTCAGAACGTATCATGCAAATTTGTGGTCTTTATCGTAAGAGTGCGACCTATTTACAAGTAACTTTTCCAGCAAAGATATAACCAGGCCTGCACCGTATCCCATCATCGTTCCGATACTGCAAGGGATTGGCCATACCTTGATTGGATATCATTTTGTTTTAAAAAAACACGAAAATAATATGCATTAGATATGCATCCTTATAGCAGTCCTAGCAAATGATACATGTAGTTTATAAAATTTGATTTGTACTACTATGCAGCACTTTCATATTGTAGTTAGCTATAGCAGTGGAATGAGAGTTATTGTTAACTTAATCACCTGCCATGGCCTATCCCAATCTAAAGGAATTGTAAATGCTCCTAACCATGCACCAAGGATACCACCATAGCTTGTGAACATAACCATTGCTTCAATTGTTGATAATGGCCTAAGGTAAAAAATTGAAAAGGTGGATTAAAACATCAATTAAGTAGAACAAAATGGTATGGAGATAAAATTATGAACCTATGCAGAATCAGTACTCGTATCCACAGATCTGAGGATGTACCAAGAACGGAGGCAGTATTTAAAACGCATAACGAGGACAATAAAGAGGCTAAACAGAAAGTTTGATAGATTTCCCTGTGGAAATATGCCAGCAAAATAAGGTGATTATAGTAGAATAACGACATTGCTGTGCAAACACCAGTCTATAGTAGATATGATTAGTTACGAATAGAAATTGTAGAATACTACAGTACAGTAAAGCGATTAACATTAGAAGAGCACAATGCATCTAATGTCAAAATTTGTGCTGGAGGTAGCACTAGTACAGTAGGTACTACGGCAGTGCTCAAGTATAGTACTGATGCAACAAGGTATTGCATAGGGCTGAATGGTCTATATTTTAAGCTACAGAGATAGATTAGGTAATATTGGATTTGTAAAATTGTGATTACTAACTCGGTTAATTGAGCACCAAATAGCACAATCACAGCATACATGAGTGGAATAGCAAAAGCAGTGATCACGAGACCTCCCACCACAGATTTGATCTACAATTATGAAGCAGCGAAATATATTAAAAGTGGATAAGCACATCATTTTATCCAATTGGAAGAACATTTGCCCAATATCATTGCTCTTTCAGAATGGTCAATATACTGGTAAGAACTTACGCTTCGCATCATTGCACCATTGACAATTGAAGTTATGATGGAAAAAGTAAGTATAAATATCATCAATGAATATTCATGCTTTGTGATGAGATTGGTCTGCATCATGGAATGATGACATAACCATAAGCATATTACGAATACCATACAGTGAGTTATTGGGAAGATGTGTGAATTTGTGAGAGTAAGCATTTTTCTAGGTAATGGTTGGAATTTATGCTACCTATAGCCAGTAAATTAGTGATTGGAGAATGGCGTGCAGGCTTGAGCCTGGCGAAAATGGAGAAGATTTGTTTTTGAATGGTTATGCTTCAAAGGGGCTGTAGGCTAGTTCCTACACCAACAGTTGGAGTTGACTCAGTTGAGTTTACAGCAATTGATGCAGTTGGCTATACTGTACACGGTATCGTACATATTTCTACTATACACAGTATACTGTACAGTACTGTACCAGGGGCTTCTATGCTAATACAGTTGTACAGTTATATTTACGTAGTCTTTTCAGAAGTCCCTGACAGTACAGTGTACAGTACAGTGGTGCAGAATACTTTGCACTGTAGTTAGGTTGTCCTTGATTTTCCACCCATACAGTACAGTACAGTACAGTACAGTACAGTACTATGCACCGTACAGTACAGTACAGTGTACAGTGTATAGTACTGTACTGTACACTGGAACGTGTGACGTTAGATTTTGAAACTTGACGTCACATGAACTTCAAGCACAGCAGTACAGTACAGTACTGTACTGTACAGTTTAACATGTTCGTACGCACACTCCAACACCCATCGACTTCAAGGAATGAGTGAGTCAACTGGACCGAGTCATGGGAACAGCTACTGTACACCGCACAGTAGTCGGTAGTGAGTGAGCAACTGAGCAAAGAGAGTATACATTGAGCAGGAACTGTACAATGTGCGATGTGAGCCAGTTCTTTTTAGAGTGCTATTAGGCAAATAAATTGTAGTAAAGATGCAAAATTTGCCCAAAATTGTAAACATACAGTACTGTGCACTGTGATACAGTACAGTGTACTGTGTACTGTACAGTATATTACAGCCGACAGGGAGACTACAGTACAGTACAGTACTCTCCTGTACCAGTGGAGCTGGATGGGTGTATCCCAAATCTGTTACCATGGAGATAATCGACGTTACACCAACAGTGGACAGATGACGCATGACATGATACGGCAATGGCGTCACACTCTCTATTCAGGGTCTCTACAGTCCATATAGTATGACACTGTACTGTACTGTGCACTGTACACTGTACTGTAGTATACTGGTCTCTAGTACAGTACAGTATGACACTGCGCTTGTACTGTACACTCAGTGGACAAGCGCATCGTGTCACACGTTGTAAAGGTCACCAGATTAGCCAATAAGCAATCCACCAGCGCGTCATGTGATCGACGTTGAAGATCACCTGTTTTGCAGAATGGAAGGGTGTCGATGGGAGACCTGACAAACTCTAGTGGCGACTAGTGTAGACAGTAGTCATAGCAAATCGCCTAGACTGCAGTACTGTTCGTGTATAGTGGCGACCATTTCAACTCAGTCTATCACACGCTGTCTGGCATTGCAAGAAGGCATTAGCAGCCATCCAGTGATTACTCCATCAACTCTCCATTTCTTCCTTCAATTAATCACCTTGAAACTGAATCAATTGATATTAAAACGATGGGAGCTTTTTGTTCACGTACAGAGTTTGAGTGGTCTAATCAAGAAGAACCGCATGCCATAAGACGAAAAGAAATTTTGCGTGAGTTTTGCATAGTGTAATTCAACCTTGGATTGGATGATGTTGTATAGCTTCCAGTCAAAATGGCGTTGGTACTAGACGTCTACTACTTTTCATGAAATCTTCTTCATCATTTGACAGCACTGTGTAGATGTTAAATTCATGCTAGATTGTTGACTGTGTATATAGTTGAATAACTTTGGCCAAATATTACGATGACCTCGACAGTGTATCGTCAAGACCAACGGTGATCCAGTGACAATCATAACTGGTTGCACAGCATAGCAGTTTGTCAAATGGAACCGAAATGTTCATTATAATGATGACAATCGTCAGATAGTATAGCTTCTAAAGGCATAATTTCTAACATTACCATAGGTAGTCTACCATCTTTGATAATAACTTACCGTATTTGCCTGGTGTAACATGCAAGACTGAGTTATTGTCAATCACTAGTATTGTCAATGGGCCATCGTCAATGCTTGCCTAATTCGGCTATTCAGCCAAGCAACCGTAAAACATGGCATTAACGTGCTACTGTTTTCACTATCAATACATAATCATCATCATCATCATCATCTTGGTAGTCATTCTTATTAGGCTCGACTACAGTGGTAACCAGTATTGACTATCCTCTCTAAAAACCTTGAAAAACTATGCCTACTTTTCTTATACTACACTGTTCATTATTACCATACTACTCAACGTTCGGTGATCGCTTTGCATGATTCTCATGCAGCCTAAAAATAGTCATTTAGATCTGCTGTACAACAGTCTCGTATTGTATCTTGAGCTGATTGTTGTTGACAATCGCTCATTATTTTCAATATTGCCTGTATACTCGTTTTTAACTTTCACTTTTTTAGTCTCATAAAATTATTGTTGATTGATTCTGTTGCTAATAGTCAAACATCCTGAAATAAAAAGGCTGATGGGATATGACACCAGGATAGCCTTCATTAGTGTCATGATGGTACTCATACAAATTGCATCGTGTTATTACGTACAAACTTGCTCTTGGCCTACTCTGATCTTAGCTGCTTATGTATGGGGTGGAACGATCAACCATTCGTTATCGCTGGCTATGCATGAAATTTCGCATAATTTAGCATTCGGCCATTCCAAACCACTATGGAATCGTATCTTGGGTATGATTGTAAATCTTCCAATTGGTTTACCTGCATCCATCACTTTTAAGAAGTATCATTTAGAACATCATAAATTTCAAGGTGATGAGTTGATTGATACTGATATTCCGACAGATTTAGAAGGTCGTATGTTCTATAATACTGGCTTGAAGGTTATTTGGGTTTTCCTACAGCCATTATTTTATGCCTTCCGTCCTGTGCTTGTGCGTCCTAAATCGGTTGAGCCACTTGAAGTCATCAATTTGATAGTTCAAGCTAGTTTCGATTTTGCTATTTATTACTTTATTGGTGCCAAAGCAATATCCTACTTAGTGATTGGGACTCTTTTAGCCTTGGGTATGCATCCATTGGCTGGTCATTTTATCTCTGAACACTACATGTTTAATGTTGGATATGAAACGTATTCTTACTATGGTAGTTTGAACATGCTAGCTTGGAATGTTGGATATCACAACGAACATCATGACTTTCCCAATATTCCTGGTAGTCGATTGCCGGAAGTGCGTAAAATGGCTCCCGAATTTTATGATGATCTACCACATCACAATTCGTGGGTTAAAGTTATCTATGATTTCATTATGGATCCCACTATTGGGCCTTACGCACGTATTAAGAGGGAAAACAGGGACAAAAAATTACAGAAATTAACAGCATCCAAGCAAGTCGACAGCGCTGACGTGAAAAAGCGAAATTAACTTTTTAAAATATCTTTACAGTATATTGATTGAAGTAATGAATGATTAGTCATACAGTAGTTACTCCGGGTTCTAAATTGGTCAAGTGATCATTTTTAGATATTCCATAGTGTAGAAATTGACATGCTAGTTCTATTTTAGTTTCAGTATCCTATGAGGGTTGTTCAGATTATTCAGCTTTAAACGCCGTTGGCAAATGTCAGAAGTCAGATTGTAACCTATCGCATTGCACTGTAGCTATATTGTAGACGGTTTCTAAGCGTTATTAAAATTATTTATTCTAAATATATCAGCATGCTTTATCTTGATTTATTTTGAAATAAATAGTACTTTATTCAAAATTGAGATTGACCTAGCTAGTTCTTAATTACTGTTATAGTTGTACTACCCTCTGTCGTATTCAGTAGAAATCGATTAGTTAGTTATTCGATATTGTTACAAAGTCTTACTTCCAACATTACATTGGACTATCGGATAAGGGACAAAGTTTAATTAATTATAATTATTATAGCGCGACGCTTAAGTTGTTGTGTTCAGCAAATTTCGTATTGCGTATCATATATTTATCTTGTGATAGTGTACAGTGTATTTTTTTGATAACTCTAATTAGAAATCAACTAGATAATTCGCTGCTTCTGACAAACTACTAATATCTAAAATGCGGTGAAATGTAACTATATGCGTACAACGCCTGTGTTCTTTAGCGGTGTTGTGGAAAATTTTTAACTTGCTTGCCGTCAGTTAATTTTTTTGGACGATTTTTAACTACGCTTTGACCTTTGTAGTTTACTATGCTTCGCAAGGTCAGAAGCAAATATGAAAAATCTATGGTGGCAAATCCTCCCATCAATGTACAGTATGGGAGTACCGAAAGTGTCATCTTTGTGTGCTTATTAAATTGTATAAGGCAGTGATTTTATCTAAGATCTGTTGCTAAAGTTATATAATGCAAGATTTAATAAAGTGTTACCTGAAGAAGGGAAGAATTATTAACTAAGTTATATCTTGGGCGCATATTTCTAGGCGAAAACGTAAATTTTTTAGAGTTTTAAGAAAATGAGGAATAGTAAATTATTTGAAAGTTATATTGTTACTCAAGTTGGGTAAATAGACCCTTCTTGAATCTTAATATTTGGAGTGGGCTAGCTGCCGTTTCGCATTACGAGCGTTTACCACTTGCAGGGCTTAAAATTAGATCGCATAATGCACGCATACTAAGGACAGTACCGATTTGAGTAAATGTTGCCAAGAAAGTTAAATTGATATTTACTCATATGATATCACACATACAAGAGATCAGATCCATTGCAATCAGCATCTAGATTCGTAGATTTATATACAATTTTATTTGTATCTTTAATGAATAAATACTGTGAAAATTTCCCATGCAACTCTACCAATGCGAAAATACATACGTAAAGCTCATTATGAAAAATAGCGAACACGGCTGGGTTTAACAGGTTATCGTTGATTTATACCACATACTGTATATGCAAGTTACCAATAGAAACAAAATTAATCCCATATTAATATTTTTTAGCCATTTAGGCTTGCAATAGATACAATCTATTGCTTCATAAGATTGCTTTATAAATCTATAGTTACGTGAATACATTATAAAGTGCAGAGAAATCAATTTGTACAGTTTGGCAACTCCATTCATGGGCGGTTTAACAATATTCGAGACTTTAGTTACTATTTTAAATTATTATGCAGACTTAACTAAATTAGATTAGTATATTTGAAATTTTGAAACTAACGATAAATAACGTATTAGCGCATTGTATGTAACTATAGTAATTCAAGACGTATCCTCTTACAAGCAGTAGAGAATCTTGTACGATATGACAGCGATTGAATCATTGAAGGAACAAATATGCATAACTTTATTCTTTAATTGAGAAAGAGACTCCACAAGAACACCCCATCTCGGCTCTTGGATTACCAACAACGTGGAAAGACGATCTGATCATTTCTTCTCGGAAATCGATGATAGATCCTTTAATTAAATCTAAAGACATTTGATCGACAATTACTTGAGCTCCATCTTTTTCAAAAATTCTACGATTGAAAAATCAATATTATGAGAAGAAATCGTTCGAAAAAATTTCAGGTTCTTTTCGTAAAGGTTAAGCCGGTGCATGAATAGATACTGGATTGTTCAGCTAATAATACCCAAATACTGCATATTTATATACTGTGCTATGGTCTTGGTAGTTAAATACAAGCGGAATAAAGGTAGTTTATCCGAATTATATTCTAACCTGTCGTCTTCATTAACGTTCTTGTCTAAATTGAACAAGTATTGAAATCCCGAACATCCACCATTTGTAACAACTACACGTAGGCGTCCATTTTCTTCTCTGATTTCTTTAAGTCGCTGTAATTAGGAAAATTGCAGACAATTTAAGAATTTTAATTTAAGCGGTACAACATATTAGATAGCTTTAGGCTTACTTTTTTTTACAATGTAAATAGGAGAAAAATTATCGTGGAGAGGCATAGTTAATTCTTAATGATTTAAAAGTCGATTATGGCTATCAGAAATGTAAAGAGGGGGAAGTTCCATTGGCTAATAGCATAAAATTGTACAGTATTTCAAACCCGTCAATGTTGCTAGAATTTCGTATTATAGTATGCGAAGGATAAAGTAGATACATATTTTATCCATAATCATACGGATGTAATATGACATCCTAAATTACAATCTAAAGCCACCCATTCTATCGTATATATATTGGTGATTATTGTACTTGAAGTAAAAGATTTCTAGGTATTAACTTGTGAAATGGATACAAATCTAAGTACGCGTCTACAGCAAAGATTCTGACAGTTCTACTACATGAGTGCCACGTAAAATGCTATGCTGTATATCGTAGTGTTAGCATATATAAAGAGCTGTTTATATACAGGCGATAACGCGTATGGTGTTTTAAGTGTATACGTATACTACCTCAAGTAGTCTATGGATAGAATTCATTTATAATGCTGTGCAGACACTTGGCTTCGATAATTTTATTTACAGTTTTATTACACATTATTCTATAAAAATGAGTCATTGTACGGAAGTGTATAAACAGGTTACTGCACTCTTTTACAGTGATTATCTGATGGGTTCCGACTTGGGTCTTTTACCATAGGCAATAGAATCTAGAATATGTTTCATTGCAGTAATATTGTAAATTACTGAATATATTTATGAAAGCTTACTTATTTTATATCGAAGTAAAACTACATGAGCATATGCAAGTTCGGCGGCTATGTCCTAACCTACATAACTTATTCACGAAAGTCGGACGTGACTGCAACTCTGCTAGCATAAGACGGTAAATAATCCAATCTATTCAATATCTCTTAACATTATGTAACAGATCATTGATCAAGATAACTCGTATCAATTCAAATTTCGTTCAACGTCAATACTAACAGCGGTTTTACTCCACACACTGTCAATTGCAGCAGTTTAATTACCAATCTAGCCCTACAAAAATTATTTTTGTCAATTGCAAAAGCACCAGTAACATTACAGCAATTAAAGAAGTACACTGCCTAACTAACTTACTTTGACGCAGCCATCACTTAAAGTGATAGCCTCAGTATTTTTAGGGTCCGCCTGGATGGTTAAGTGCCTACAAAGAGGTTTAATCTGGCGAAAAATTTCAGGTTTTATTTGTATAACTTTCCGCAACATAAATCTCGACGCCATAATCTTCATCATGTTTTGCCAATGCAAGTCCTGGAATCTGTCTGGTACAGACAGACAGCAATGTCCAAGATACAGTGTACAGTTTACAGTGTACCGTACCCCGGTGTGGAAGTACTGTACTTCTGTACTCTATACACCACGGAGATCAAAGAAAAAACCTTGGGTTTGACTACTTGAATAGTGTTGAACGGTACCGTAGCCTCAACATCTCTACAGTACTGCCAGTACATATAGACTGTACGGACAGGACTGTGAACTAAAGCAGAACCTCAAGCTTGCTGTGCATGCAATTCTGTCCAACTTCTTTCGAGGAATTCTTCTGAATTATCGTGATCGAGGTAAAAGGTGTATAAAAATAAAGGAAATATGAATAATCATTAGAGTAATGAAATCATTTTAAGCCTATACAGTGGTAGCTAAGAGTATCGTCTTTTATTCGGCAAGTATTGATACTGTACTGTTGCTACAAGAGTAATACAGTCGTTGTTATAATCAGCAACATAGTCCTGAATTCCTGATGCAGGATTTCGGGAATCATGCTTGTTTGTTGCATTGTTCATCGGGGTTGATTTTCGGCTTGAAAAATTATTCATTTTCTTAGTTTGAACAAGTTGAAGAAGAGAGTCATGACCAAGCGAAACTATAGGAAGAGAAGAGATTCAAGTGATGATGATGAGAAAGTGGGCGATGAATCGATAAGGTAAAGCAGATTGGAATGTTGTAAAACGTCATGCAAAACGACAGCAAATATATATTTGCCACGCTTGAGTTACTTTTAAATTATAAGTAATGTTAGTGCATCACCTAGTTTTACTATATTAGTCTACTGTCATGGTGTAGAGCGAGTACGTGTAGTAATATCATTGGATCTCGTAGTTGATGACCAGTATGGTACAATACGTGAACGTGTAAACCATAACATGATAGAATCAGTTTATGCTTTATTTTTATCCGACAAAATCCAATAGAACGCGTACACATTAACATTTATAATACCTGTTGATAAAATTATCTTGATGCATAGCTTATACATAGCAATACTAAGGTAACCCTACAGGCAGATTTTACGAATTATTCCTGGCTTATATTGTAACCTTAGTGTCAAGCACTCAAGTCTATAAACTATTGCCTAGTCATTTATGGAAGGTCATGTCTAAATGTGCTTATTTGTTCGACGCTTGTTCAGTGATGTCATTAAGAGGGCCAAAGAACTGCAAAAGTTCCGCGCGAAACCGCGTGGTATTGATAGTAGCGAATTAGATAAAGGGAACGTTCCAGATGTTGAAGTACCTGAAGATGAGGATCCATTTAAGCTCAAGACTGGCGGATTAATTGATATGGATCACGCGAAGAAGGTATAACGTTATTCGACAATATAATCACTTTAGGCACTCTGGCTGATACCTTACTACAGGGTTATATGAATAGATAATATATCATTATATATGGAATAATTAGTGGTACATTTCTTATAACTACAGCTACAGTATACACCTTTCTACATCTTGGATACAATAATACGTATAATTTTATACAGTATTAAGCTAGGCATGGTTATCACTGAGTATCACCGTGCTTACACTAATATGTAATTTATCAGTATCAGCTTAAAGTACTGATAAGAGTTAATGAGATGGTAAATGTATCCATGTAAAGGATAGCGTAGCAAATAACTTTTTAACTGATATAGAATTAGACAGTCTACATCATAGCAATTATTGAAGGTTCCCTTTATTCCTAATCTTAGTGCTTAACATCTTGATGTGATAAATTAATTATATTAGGGTGGCGTCGATGAAATGGGCGATAAAATTTCTCTTGGTAAGAATTTCTCTGCTGAAACGAATACCTTCGACGAAGATGCTGCCATGATGAAGTATATTGAAGTTGAGCTGGCGAAAAAGAAGGGAGTTGTATCTCAAGATGATGAGGATTCTAGGTAAATAAATCGTATCATATTCTAGGCTCTACTATACGTACATACTTGTCCGTTCAGGTTTATATTACCTATCTATCTCATTGCATGTATGTTAAATTATTTTTAGCCTAATAGTAGCTCAACAATACGCGTATGTTAAGTAAAAAGGTTTTACTTGAAGATCATGATATATAGTACATGTTTGCACAATTAACGGCTTTACTAATACTAGAAGTGGTAAAGTTCTTGAGGATAGCTTGTATGAATTACCTGAAAACTTACGTATAACTTCGGCTAAGAAATCGGAAGAAATGTTATCCAATCAGATGCTATCTGGAATACCAGAAATTGATTTGGGCATAGATGCAAAGTTAAGAAATATTGAGGCCACAGAAAATGCTAAATTGGAAATGTTGATGAAACGAAGAAGAAAGAAAAATGAGATATCAAGCATGGTACCAATTAACATAGCCGTAAATTATGTTCAGCATACACGTTGTAAGTTGATGTTACTAAGTTCACTTTAATGATTGCAATAAAATTAACTTTCATTATCTAACACAAAACGTTGGCCATTGAGTGCATAATAATGAAAGCTTGTACTGTACAGTAATCGTGAATATTTTTCACGATTGAAACCGCTATGAGCTGGTGAGTAAAGTTTATGTTATGCTTGCATAGATTTACATGAGACGGAAGATGATAAATCTGCTAATAAGAAAGCACCAGACGGGAAGGCAGACAAAGGTGCACTTTTGCCTGTTGTTAGACCGCAAGATGTAGATATTGATGTAGAAGAAGAAGTAATCAGTCGGAAAACTGCTACTAATGATCGCGCGACTACTCAAAAAAGGCGTCACAACTGGAAGAATACTGCAACTGATGACTATCACTTTGAAAAATTTAGAAAACAAATGAGACGGTAAACTTTCTTAATAGCGATTGCCGCGTAGGAAAATAAGTCACCCCTATGTTGCTGGGGTTATTGGACTATATTGTATCATTTATTACATGACAACTAAAGTTGTGATCTTCTATCATACGAGACGGCGATCTGTTGTATTGGAAGGTACAGATCGATATACAGAAACTATTAAAAAAGTTACATCACAAACTAAACAGATCCGAGCTTTACAATCCGTCTTTGATGCTTTGATCAATTACTAGTAAGATTTCGTATGATATAGCAATATATTATTACATTTGGTTTTAACACTGTCAATGGTTTTTGTAGCAATATGTACGTACGACTTTAAATTTAATTTAATACTTTAAAATATTAATTTTACTTCTTTCGTCGTATCAGTGTTGCGAAGGCATTTTAAATTATTATAATGTTAATATTTACTTTTTTTGTCGTACTATATCGCGAAACTACAGTAGCGATTAAAGTTTTATACGATGGGTCAAATTGTCTAGAACTTAGACTGTACGACGTTCTGTTTAGGAGTTAGATGATTTTAATTAATTATTTAGATTCGGCATACGAGTCTGCTTGAAATCCTATAATTACGAAACCTTACAAGAGTAAGATGTAACACTGAAATAAATAACGAAACATTTCTAGATATCTGTACAGAATTTTTAAGGCGAGTTTTTTTTATCAAAATGAATGATTTATTTGTATGGTTTACTTATAAGAAATTTTAGAACAAAGACCTTGCTGCCGTAGCTTATACTAAAATAATTCTATACTTTGTAATGCACATCTATAATTATATGGTTAGAATATATCGTAAAATGAGCAGCATAAAATGTCTTTCAGCCTTAATCCGTAACAGACAGGATAGTAGATCGGTACTACCAAGTTTGCAATGATTATGCAAAGTGAAACTGACCGTAAACGAAGTCAAGGAGAATAAATTTGAGTAATTTTCGTTATAGATAGTATCGATTAAAATTTAGATTCTACAGTATACTAAAAAGTAGCTCACTGAATACCAGACCTATTAAGAAAACAACGCTGTATACTAAGTACACACGCAGAAGTAGTAAAACTGATAAAAAAAGTGCTAAATATTCATCAGATGACTTTAACAATATTTTGCATAAAATGGTAACATGCTATAAAAACCTTTGCAATTATTTTACATATGTAAACGTGTAACTGTCATATTGACAGGATTTCATCTGATTTTGAAGATTATCGACCATTTCGAAATGAAATGGTATAAGATTAAGTAGAAGCTAAACCAATTATATTATATTCATGATTGGTAAATTATATGTTACGAAATGTTACATCAGGTTGAACATCTTGCAAATTGTGCGAGAAGACAGAATCATTACTGTTCACTTCCAATTCTCCTTCAAACATTTTTTGCAGTGTTATTTCAACGTTTTTTCTTTTGTTTAATTTAATTCGTAGACGAATCTTTGCTTTATCAGCGGCTTCTTTAACTATTGCGTCATTGGTGTTGGTATTATTTAATTCTGCATCAGTTTCATTAATAAGTTGATCAGGGCTATCAGCGGCATCGTCATTTTTCTGCCTAATTTCTTCTTTTAATGGATTACTAATGATAGTAAAAGCATCGATACGCGAAAGTAAAGATTTTTAATCAGTAATTGGAATACAATCTTTTGACACAAACAATAGTTCTACTAAAATCGATAATTATATTATAATGTAATGCTTTGCATACTTTACCTTAAAACGCCTAATCCTAGATTTTCGATCTTATTTTCTAGCACATTTTCAAACTTTCCTCGGTTTAGATTAAACTCGATCATAAATGCGTCAATCACAAATGCCACAAAGATACTACAAATGGAGGAATAAAATGATGATGTTATTAATTAAGAATATTATAACCGCGACAAATATAGAGCTAAACTAGTTGACTATAACCTAGTCTGCAGTATAAACATGAATTATTATTATAGCACAGTTCTTACTTGACAATGATTAAGATAATGATCATGTGAAACGAAATAAAGAATAATCTGGCAGCTTTGCTAGTTACAAGCACAAAGCCGGATGTCAGAATTATGATTAATTAAGGAATTAAACTAATTTCTAGCTAAAGTTTATATATTAAAATTATTGAGCCTGAGTAATAGGAAATGAAGTCTATTTATGTTTAGAAAGGATATCATGCCATTGATTGACAATTGTTAACTCAATCAGCAGTACAAAAGATTTGAGGAGATTGTTGAAATTATTGCCGCAATAGCGATCGGCATAGAACCCTGAACCTTTCAACTTGATGTTACCACAAAATAATAGAGTCTGGTTGAAAGGTTGGCTGCCATTTGGGTAGCCATAATAACGTATTAAGCCAGAAAATAGCTCCATTCCAAGGATTGCGTATACGTAGTAAAATATCTACGTTGATTGAATGAAATAAACTGAGAAATTCTAAACTTTCATGGTACACATTTCACAGTACAAAAAACTTATACATCCATAAATTAGTACAGTACTGTACAATACAACTTTATCAAGTGATACAGTAATACCAGTAAATTGCTAGATAAGGCTATGGAACAGTAAAGTTGTTTGCTATAGCATTAGGTAGCGAAGAGGTTTATAACGTAGTAATTAAAGATGTTATTGATACAGGTTCCTTACTAATAATATTCCACCATAGGTTGCAAAGGTCGGTAAAATTTGCGATACAGTCCGTACAATTACTTGAAATCTGTATAGTGTTGATTGAATATAATGAAATAGTTTGTAACTTTTTTTTGTGATTTTTCTATGGATACAGCCGACTGAAATATTATACGATTAAGGAATCAAAAATGATTCCGAAGTTACCTGTTAATGTCGCCGATTAGCTTAATTATTCGCAATACTCGCAACACCATTACAAAATCAAGCAACGCCCTCGTATGCGCCCCTATACGGATTGGTAATAGTCAACATGACGCTCAAAATATAGCAAATGTTTTATTTGGTAGTCAATTCTAGCTTATAAGAGGTCAAATAAGGCAATCTTAAATCTATAAATCTTTCAAAAGCTAGCTTACATCCATTTTGACTTGACTCGATAATAGTCATTATAGTTGCACTCACGATAACCAAGAAATCGAATCTAAACGTCATCAGAATAAAATATATCATGTAGAGTTGGTTAAACGGTTATGCATATGCATATACGTTCATTCGTAAGGAACATTTATCATTTGTTAAGATTCAAGGTTTATATTAACAAATTCAATTTATGATACATACGAATTCCAAAATATTCTTGCAAATTCTTTAACTCCAAGTGTGTATAATTTTAGAATAATTTCGATGTTAAACAAGGTTAGGAAGAAAATCTCGGCAGCATCGATACCAATTCCGATCATAACGGCATTAACAAGAATAGAAAAATCGAAAAAATATCGAAAAAATCTAATGGATCAAAAATATGAAAGGTGTTAACCGCCATTTCCAATTGATAAAGATTTACTGATTTTTAATCAGAGTTTCGAGGGTAAGGTAACACTACTTACTTGTGGAGAACAATCTTTCTAAGTATAACACTATATTTGGAACCGTAAAATCGAGGAAAATGTCGTTGTAGATAGTGAACTTGATCTTTAACTTCCAAGATTTCTACATTCAGTAGTTCGGCGACTTGTAAAAAGTGGTCTAAACCTATGTAATAATTATAAGAAGTATTTATAATTTACAGTTCTTTAACAAGGTATTATGCAACTGAGGTTAATTAACCTAAAATGGCACAGATTATAGTTTACATATGTTATGCAAGATTTATTTCCATAGCTTTTTATTTGAAAATTATGCAATGATAGTAAAGAGTATTTAACTGTAATAGTATTCTTAATTATTTAGGTACCAATATAGCCTTTATCATCCTTGTCTAATATTTCCCACAGCAAATGAATTTGAGTATCGCCACGAAATTTAGACCCATGTAGGCTATTCATTCGGAGAAGTAGCTGACACCATGCTTCGCGTGTTACGTACACATCGTGATGATTAGTCCATGCTCCGAGTACATTGTAAGCATTTTTCAACAATTTACGTCTAATAAATACCGATTTGGCGATATCTTCCTACGGTAGTAGGTAAATTTAGTAGAAAAAGGTCTTTTAATTGAAGAGGAAAAGTGTGAATTTATCATGTTATACGTTTTAAGTTAAAGGTATTAGATAGTGCATTTTAGGTATCATCTATGTAAGAATATTGAATGTAAAGAAAGTTATTAAGAAACTTACCCGTAGCTGAGATCGATAATTCTGATAAACTACCGCTAGTAAGATGTTATTTAGTATGAAATAACATACAATCATGAAACTGATGAAAAATAAAGCGAACCAGTTGTCAAGATCGTACGCGGGCATCCTAAACATAAGTAACATATATTAGAAAATAGGAATACTTTTCTTGATCGATAGTAACGATTATGTCATCTCCAAATTGTATTTCTGAACGCCTGTCAGATACACTATGATAATGTAATTACATGACATCTGGATCATTTGCTGTTGTTAATAGGACATATAATCGCCAGAAGCTATCATCAAGCCTGGTAAAGTAAGGAGTGCCATTTGGATTGTAAAGATTTCTGTTGATATGCAAGTTTGAAGAATTAGACCGTGACTGATATGATCATAGTATATTCAAAGTCAACAAACCTTGATTGGAATAATTTTAGGGCTAGCAAGGCAAACATTGCAATACAAAGTAATAATAATAAAATAACGCTAGCTGATTTTGGTATAGTGCGTCGGATATTGCGTAAGCCGCGACGAATCTAAAAATGATAACAATTCTTGCTTATAATTGTAGAGCGATTAATAATTATAGTAGAGTTGTTATAACATGGCATAGCTGAAAGATCAAGAACAAACCTGACGGTTTTCTGCGAAATTAACGATAAACATTGGACGAAGGATTCGCGATACTCGTAGCGCATGTTGCTGATTTCCACTGGCAGTCATGGCAATATAGACAATCATGTCGATTACAGTAACCTTATAGGCATAGTTATATGAAAGAAGGGTGAATGAAGAGTGATTTATGAATTCTTGGAAAGACTAACTTTATAATTAGGCTTCAACTACAATAGTTAGGGTAGGTTATACTTTCAATTAGTGCAAAACTGTCTTAATGGCAATGTATTCTGTTGATCAAGTAAATCGTATCATTACCAAGAGAGTGGCTATAATGAGTATACTCTTGGAATCCTTCCAAAATTTTTCTGCGCTAGGCACGAATTGACGATTATGCAATAGTCTTAACAAGAAGAATACCAAGCAATATAGTTCCATCACCATTGTCGCCTGTGGTAAAATAAAACACCTTAATCGATATGCTATCACTTAATTTACATGATAATTACCCTACTACTAGGAATAGCACCTAATAATGCAATCTCATAATAAGAGATGATGATATCCTGTAGCATAACTGATTGTGGCAACATGATACAGCTTGCCCAATTAGCAAGATTCTTTAAAAACTTTTAGTATTATATAGTATCGATCAGTGTCCTGTATTTAACGAAAAACTTTGCCATTTAAAATTCTGACAAAATAACTATCTAGCATTCATCAATGTTGTATGCAAATTAATTTACGTATACGGTATTTTTTGACTGAAATTTTTTAGTACTCGTATCCAAATACTGTACAAGTCCATCAGAAATGCGACATATCGTATCGTAAAATATAATAAGCGTAAAATAATCGATTAAACAAATCATTCGCTAAACTGTTTACTTTACAATCATATAACTTTGAAGTAACGATAGCCTGTACACTGGCATAATCAAGTAATTACTATTCTTAATATCATCAGGCACGATAACCCTTACGTAATAAACGATCTATAATACGTAGCAGTATCGTCCTAATTAGTAATAGATTTAGTTGCGAATTTCATTTTAAGCAATACATCCATTAGCTATCATAATAATGGCAGTAAGAGTTATCATTATAAATGACTTGTTATAATTTAATCTTACCCAGACAGGAAGCTCAAGACCAGGTACGGCGGGTCTTTCAAACAGTGCCAATGCAAAGTTGAGTGTAATGGTAAGATATAGCAAAAATCTCATAAGTGGATGAAAATACAATTGATATTGCCTAGAAAGATGAAAATGTTTGCGGTTACGGCTAAAAAAGATGTAAGAATAGAGCCCACTATCCTATTTCATTCATGACAATGATGTTAGTGTAAAGTGTAGAACAATAATATGAATTTGTTTATAAAACCAAAGATGTCGGCTGATACCGCTGATTGCATCGAATGAATTGTAGTTCTCTTTGAAGTGGAGTATTTTATGGTAACCGATGGCCGATACATGAAACCGCTTAAACAGTTGTAAAAGCTAGGAAAAGATGACAGTATATGGCTATTCTGTCATTTTCATGTACAGTAGTCATAGGTTGTAGTGATAGTATCGAGATGGATAGAAAAAGTCTAGATGATTGACCGTTTTAAAATTATATATTGCATCCAAGCGAAGAATCCTAGTAAACATAAGGGATTGTAGAATAATGAAAATGTTCCTAATTTCTCTAGTGATCAAGACTCGATAGTTAAATGGCCTACTGTATTTTAAGAATAGAGGAATAATCGATTATACTGCATTCATGAATTCTAAATGAAAGTAATATTTATGGATAAGCTTCCAATCCTTTAGACAGCAAGGATTAAATGGATTGATATTTGAGTACCTCATTATCAGCAGTAAAGTAACCAACGTCGTTTCTGGTAAGATAGTTAAAAGTAGTGTTATGTATGCAAGAATACAGTAATCTGTTGTACAGCACCTTAACGTGTTAAATGCAGTAAATCCTAAATAAAAGAGACTTTCAGTAAGCTTACTAGGAGGAGTGTATCAAAGTTCCTCGTGCTAACGTTAACGACTAAGAGTGGAAACATAACGAGTAGCACCTGGTTATGTAATGATCCAGTTTTCCACTGGACCGCTCTATATAATGTTCGTAAACAATCATCAAGTTGACTATTAAAGTTTGAAGGTGTAAAACTAACTCGATCGACCGTGTGATTATGTTAATCGGTTCGACATCTACGCTTTAGTTTAGTTAAGTTAGCCAAAGTTCCATATCCATCATAGAAAATGGGCGGACTGCAGTGATCACTTTAATATCGGATTCGTGGGTTTTCAATTAATAGTTCCTACCAACTAAAAGGAATTCTACTTTAGATCAAGGGTGATCACCGTAGCGTGGTAACATGTAGAAATGGATCAATGACTGTGGAACAGAAATTCTCTTTGCTCCATCACTAGCGTCAAGGCGTTCAGTATTTAATATTCTTAAATAAAGTTAAAATGTATTTCAGCAATTCTCTTCCTCCATCACTAGTGTCAAGGCGTTCAGTATTTGATGTTCTTAACTAAAGTTAAAATGTATTTCAGAAATTCTCTTCCTCCATCGCTAGTGTTAAGGCATTCAGTATTTGATGTTCTTAATTAAAGTTAAAATGTACTGTATTTCAGAAATTCTCTTCCTCCATCACTAGTGTCAAGGCGTTCAGTATAGGATGTTCTTAAATAAAGTTGAAATGTATTTCAGAAATTCTCTTCCTCCGTCACTAGCGTCAAGGCGTTAAGCACCTGATGTTCTTAACTAAAGTGAACATATTGCACACTGGGCAAGGAGGTGAGGATGGCGAAAGCTACGATCCTCGTAGTTGTGATGTGCGGAATGAAATCATATTAATGATGTAACAAATGCGCCGTAGTTTAGTAAGAATGAAATTGGGCACCGTGGCATTGACATTAAATTTCCAAGGAACTATAAGGATTAACATTAATCTTCACTAAAATTGTCCTCATGTAGGTATCGCCAGTAAGAGAATAATGCTACAAAATCATTATGGGTGTCAATAGGGTAGTGATGTAGGAGAAGGGGGAAATTTTTGTCGGAGGATTATTGTAAACTTGGTGTAGAAAGTAAGAATACGTGGACACTTTGGCATAGCGTTGATGTGGCAGAAAAAATGGAAATATAACTTTTTCTATAGACTACTACTGCTGCATATGGAGGTTATAATAATAATGATAATAATAAGAGGGGGAAAAAAATTGAATTCTCATCCTTTATGTTGTCGCTATTACTTGAGAGCTTGCATCTTTTTCATTACAGCGCCTTTTCTGCCACGGCGAGCATCTTCGACCATGATTGCAGCGTATAAGAGATCCTTTAAGAACGATAGAAACGATGACACGGTCAAGTTATTTTTAAAGTCAATATTCCATCAATTTATCGTCAGTAGAAGATGATATTTATTTTTATAACGAATGAATGGAGTAAAAGTTTTATTTAACTGTACATCAATCGTTATCGTACGATATTGCTACATGTAAAGACTAATGTAGTCGATTGCGAATTTGTATTTTACTTGAACTGATGATCCAAAGTGAGCGGATACAGTAGGAAAGAGAGTGTAACAAAAATTTCTTCCCCACTGTTAAGGGTACATCATTTCTATCATTTGCAAGGAGAAAGAGAGATAAATGATCGATTTCAATGGATCGATTGGTCAGTTATCCTTGCTGTATGACGATAAATGATATCGATATTACTAGTGACGGTCAATGGCGGTAGTTGGGATCGTCTACAGTATCTTTCTCGCCCATTGCAAGAAGGCTAAAAAAGGGCGCTCTGAATTAGTGTTGGGTTGAAATAACAACACTCTCCTGGTAAGGTATCTTCTAGGATGTGCTATGACTATTTATGCTGACAATGTGTCATCATCATGTATACCGTGTCGTTGATATAGTTTTCCTCGTTTCCGTTTTGATTGATATTAGCTTGCGAACTATCCTCGTTATGATTACTTTCAGGCTTGGCTGCAGACTCTTTTGCATCATGGTGATGATCGTCACCAGTCGGTGGATGGATCGATTGATCCTGTTGATTGGCGTTTTGTAGTGTTTGATTGTTGGCTGTTTTCTCCTCTTTTTCTTCCATCTTGAGATGTTCAAGATTGGTTTGGCTTGATAATTTTGTAATATCATCATTCTCCTGTTGGCTGCCATTATTATCATTCTCCTGCTGGCTGCCATCATTCTCATTCTCCTGTTGGCTGCCATTCTTCTCATTCTTCTGCTGGCTGCCATCATCATCACTCATTGCAATTTGGAATAAATCCACCTGCGATGAATTCTCAGCTGTATCCATTTCGTCTACAACAACTTCTTGTCATGCAAAAGTAACAACAACGAGTGATGTTTCCTTGCTTTAATTAATTGACTCGGTTCATTAAGGTTAATTAAGTTGATCAATGCGGTGGGATGGGATCATGTGGTACCGGTTCTACAGTACTGTACTGTACAGGATAAATAACATTTGTGTACAGTACAGTACTGTAGTCGGGCCCGCAAGGCGCGGCTATTGGGGTGGTGCCGCCAGGCGTGATGCTACACCGATCCATACGATTACTATCAAAGCTTGCACACCATAACATGGTATTATTTCTACCCTACCATGGATGCTATGCTCTTCATCATTCCTCTTGACTCAGGATTGCTGTAGTGGGTGTTATTGCTGATGCTGATAAAACGGAATTTTACACAGTTTGCAACGCCTTCCAACTTGATTTAATGTAAAGCATGATTCTCCGAGAAAAAGGAATGCTTTTAAGCTATTAATGGGAAGCTAGTCCACGGCATAGAAATGAATGCAAAAAGCCGGTGGGGGGGGGGGGATGCTCGTCTGCTCTAGCGCTTACTGTATACTGTATGATGTAGTCGTTGAAAGCCTATAGAGTTGATGGACCATCACTTGCAGTGGTCTTGCCGTCTATTCGTGACAGACGGAGAGAGAGAGAGAGAGAGTGCAACAATAGAGGTTTTCCCTTCAATAGGTGCTCCACTGCTGATTGGCTTCAGTCACAATAGTGCTAACGTCGTGTCTCCACGACGTCAGCAGCGCTATCGACGGTACATCGGTACTTACCCTAGGGGGTGGGTTCCATTGATTTCTCAGACTTCATACTGGAGTAATCGATTGTAGTGGATATGTCGACAGCCCCCCTATCGACCGTACATCCAGGTTGAGGGTAATTGTTTATTTTCGTTTTACAGACTTGGTGCTACTAGAGTACTGGATTAGATGGGTTAATAGTTAATAGCTCAGCCCGGGGTAATGGCCTATTTTCCTTGACAGATTTGGTGTAACTACAGTGTACACTGTAGAGTACTGGATTAGGTGGGTTAACAGCCCAGCCCGGGGTAATCGCTTACTGTATTTTCCTTTCACAGATTAGGTACATCAACATCCCAGCCCGGGGTTAAGGGTTATTTTCGTTTTACAGACTTGGTCCTACTAGAGTACTGAATTAGGTGCGTCAACAGCCCAGCCCGGGGTATTCGGTTATTTTCATTTCACAGCAGACTTGGTGCAACTGCAGTAGAGTACTGGTTAGGTGCGCCAACTGCCCAGCCCAGGGTAGTCGGTTATTTTCATTTCACAGACTAGGTGCAACTGCAGTAGAGCACAGGTTAGGTGCGCCAATTGCAGGGTAGTCGGTTATTTTCATTTCACAGACTTGGTGCAAGTGCAGTAGAGTACTGGTTAGGTGCGCCCAGGGTAGTCGGTTATTTTCATTTCACAGACTTGGTGCAACTGCAGTAGAGTACTGGTTAGGTGCGTCAACTGCATAATCGGTTCTTTTCGTTTCACATACTGTACTGTACACTGAGTGTACAGTGTACAGTACTTGGTGTAAGTACAGTACTGTCGAGTGCTGGATTAGGTGCGTCAACAGCTCCGCCAGCGGTAATGGGTTATTTTCGTTTCACAGACTTGGTGCAACTAGGGGATTAGGAGCGTCTACAGCCCAGCCCGGGGTAATCGGTTCTTTTCGTTTCACAAAGTTGGTGCTACTAGAGTACTTTAAATCAATTTTGGTTCTGTTAGGTCGTTTATTCATATCAATTATGGCCATACTAATATTTACTTAATCTTCATCTACCAGCACATACCATATGAAGCCATTTGAATTGCAATAAAGCAAGTCGATTTTTTACATCGCAATTCTAAAACGAAAGGTAAACATGCTGTACTGGATTAGGTGCGTTAACAGCCCAGCCCGGTATGACGACGTGACTTGTAAAAGGGTTGCAGCGACTGATAGTTTGTAGTCGAAACTTGAAAGAAATACAACGATTCAATACTGCGATATAAGGCAATTAAAATAGCAAGAGTCAATGGCTCGAGGTCGTACTAATCTATCTGCATGCAATTGGAGCCCAATCCAAAGTTCACCTTTTCAAAATTGAAAGACATCATTTAAGGCAACGCTCTAGCTGAACATCTTTCAAGCATTTTCCAGGGCTCGCTGCGCCTCTGTAAGAGTAGTCTATAGGATAATGGGTTATTTTCGTTCACAGAAATTCGTATCAGTGCCCTTTAAAAGTCAAGCCGAAACACGACTTGAGCGAGTGATTCGCCTTTCAAAATTTCTGTCGTGATACTGTATTGGAATAGCGATTGCACTCATGTCGGCTTGCAAAATGAACCATTTGATTGCTTCTGCAGTGCTACATTCTACAATGAGATATATCAACTGACAGCCCAGCCCAATCAACCATAGGTTCGCTATAGGGTAATTGGTTATTTTCCTTTCGTAGACATCATACTGGAGTAGTGGATTACTGTAGATACGTTCAACAGCCTTACCGACGCGATACAGGGAGGGGATGAATTATTTTCCTTTTGACAGACTTTAAGCTGGACTACTGGATTTGAGAATAATTTTCTACGATCGATTACTTTTCCACACGTGCAATACGCATCTCCAAATCAATTCTACGCTTATAATATGGAGAGTAGTGTTTCGGCCGGCATTGCACGCATACGTGTATAACAAGAATAAAGTAAGATAGTAAGCAGTAATCGACCAAAGGCCGATCATTGATCAAGTGTTTGAGCAACGATAACCATTATATACGACACGAAATTTACCTAACTAGTTGGACATTTACTGTACAGTGTACAGACCGTATATTATTATTAAATCATACCGTCATAAGTGACGAATATTCTAAAACTACAGTAGTTGGATAATCGTTGTTTCTCAATTCAGAGGTATGCAAGCACGCACTTGCAGTCTTCAACTCCGTTCAGTTAATAGCACACCCAAACTGTATATAAAGTACTTGTGTGGCATTGCATTTGCCGCAACCCTCTAAATGATCCGGCTTATACTATGACTGTGATCCACTCAGGTATGCGGTAAGCTGGTAAGTGTAAACGCTGACCTAATCTGAATTATCAACTCCCTTCGGTCGAATAATGATCTATTCTACATATGGTTACATTAAGAAGGAAGGTAGTTATTGAACCGACATTGTACGCACATACCAACAATAAAATGAAATGAATGAATTATCCATCGGATTAATGTCGCATGTTATCCCCACATTCATGTCAGCATGTGCATTCTAAAGAGACTTTAATTATTCAATTCTAGCAACTTTGTAAAATCAAGTTGTGCGATTTGTACAATACTAAGTCTACTATGTGCTGCATAGTAACAAAAATTCCTCAACTACTGTACACTACGCTTGCCAGAGAATGATCAAGATAGGATTCAATTGGGAAAGAAAGATATACCATGTTCTACGCGTATCAGTACATCGATGCCAATGGCTAATTGATTGGCTCTGCTGTGAGATCCATAGTTCTCGTTATTGCCTACGTTGTATTCTGCTTGAGCATATACTGCAATGATAAAATTACTTAATTAAGAATACATACGCTCGTATTGAGTTTAGCGGCATGTAGAACAGCTTACACATGAAGGTGTCTCAAGCAGGCAATGTGTATATTGGTGCATTCTGTGGCATGCTAATTTCTGACATCAAATCTGATCTGAAAAATTCTCTACAATTGGAAAAACCCTTCGTTCAAAGGCACTTTCGATGAGAGTAGGTGAAATGTTACAATGATCAGCGACGACTCCAAATACAATTTTTCTATGAGCTTTCCAAAAGTTTGCCAAGGAAGACAAGAATTGTTTTGGAGTCGTCCCGGCTAGGATTACTAAATTCAGTGTTATTAGCAGCACTAGATATTGCACACTAGGGTCTCTACTCTACACTGTTTAGCTCAGACAAACTTCGCTTAAAGTATCATCTATCAGGAGACTTTTGCATAGTTCGGGTAGCTTGTAGCGGTTACTTTGATGATTACCGCATCACTTTTTTGTACTGTATAAAGCTGTATCTTTTGTACAGTATATCAACGTGGAAAGTGTAATATTCTCGCTTACTCAATTAATGACACGACACACGAGTGTAGCTTATAATATTAGACTAGTTTATGAAGAGAGAAGAAGAGTCAAGGTTGACTTAATAGTCTAATATATCTATAATATATACACAATGTATAGATTAATTATAGAAATGCTTCCAGATGAAGACTTCTGAGTAGATATTTTGCTTATACTAACCTTTCTCAGGTCTATATTACAAAGCATGGCGTATTCGTAATGCATGAGCTATTGATATTGCACGGTAATAATTGCTAGACAGTAGACATGTTACTCATATGCTATTACGAGCATATATAGATATGCTATTACGAGCATATATAGTAACCCTACTTTTGGCCGGTTTTGCCGTAAACTGGATGGGATAGACTATCTGCAATAGAATGATCAAGAATGTTGGTACAACTTGATTTCTTCCTGGATATAAACTAGCACAGTTTACGAAACGTATTGACAGCTCCAACCTTGTTCATCTTACAACAACATCTGTGTATCGAGAGTGCTATATTTGTTTGCATTATAAACAACGTCCATCATACCAATCAAGGGGAATAATGTGCAATATCTACAATCAAGAGTCGATTGTTGATTTATTGTCGCTATAATTGTTTAACTTTGGCTTTAGTTAATATGAATAATATTGATCTTACAACTTGTAGTCCAGTTCTGGATACCATTCATACTAATACCACGAGTCAATACTATTTGTTTACGACAACACGACATTGCTAGGATGGTAGTTTAAAAAATTTTGAATTAGCCGTAAATTTTTCCCTAGAATTGGCTTTAGCAAGCTATTCTATCTAGCCTGTAAAACACTATATAGCAGTTCAAGTTAACGTCCCACGACTAGGAAAGTGATCTGTAGTTGAAGTGGAGATTGATTCGTATACTAGATGTTTAGACTAGTAACAAAAAGTCCCCCTTCAACGACAGTCTGTAACTGGTAAAATATTACTGACTTTTGCTAATCGTGCCAATGAGCTGGCTACAGGTCGACTAGCTTACTATTTTATGGAAACTGCTCCTGCGATAGAATTAATCTCCACTTTTGAAATATACTCGTATACAAGTATTAAGTGATGGATGATGCCGATGCTGTTTCAGCAATTTCTACCAAATGAATGGGATCATCCAATGATGACTTGTAGTCTCGAGTATAGCTTGCACCTATGGCCTGACATGAATTAAATTAGGCAGTGATTGGATGACTGTCCTAATGGATGGTATCCTGCCTTGATTTAGCTTGTCCGCGTAGAGTTAATGTGATTTGATCAATCGGCTTAAGAATGCTTCTTGCTTTGCAATGATTTAATCAGTAGAGTAAGTTAGTATCAAAAGTACTGTTGTCGACGTCCAGTTGAGGAATCACGTTTTGTCATTGAAGATAAATGATGAAGAAGTTAGACGTCTTATGTCAATTTTAATTACAGAATCTTACGATTGAACTCTTTCTCTATCGATTGATGTATTATTTGTCCACTTTGCAAAATTGATTGTTTTTTTGGATGTTCAAATTTATCGGCTAAAATATCTTGGACATGCCGTACACGTGTACCGTATATCGTATACCGCAAGATGAGACGAGAGAGTAACAGTCTTGCGACCATCACTAGGAAATAGGCCGTCTACTATCATCATTGGTCTTGTATCTTTTGTAGAGGTCAGTTTCTCTACTATCAAACTCTGCAGCGTATACTCGAACTTATCTCCTCTACGCCATCTCACTGATAGCCTAAAAATGAGCCCGATTGGAGTCCAATTTGGCTTTAAAACGCCATCCTTCGTTGTCGTTTTGCTAGCTACTGCATTCTTTCCGATAGAGGACGGACTGACAACCGTACGGGAGAAGAGCGGTAAGCAAAAAGCCTTTGCCGTGGACTACAGTACTTTACACTGTAAACCACAGTGTATGACTGTGGAGTTTGGACTGTCTTGTTACCGCTTCAGACAATGACTGAACTGTCAGTGGCGCATACTGGTCTCCGCTCTCCATACAATACCATAGAGGGACGCGGAGATTGGTCTGGTTGGCTACAAAGTGGACGAACCAGTCTAACCACTGGCCTACAGATTCTTGGTCAACGGCCATACTGTAAGCTGGCCCCCATCAAGGTGCTGCAGAAAATAAAAAGTTGGCAGCCAATTCAGTGTTTTTTTTTCCCTTGGCGACGTCTGCTATATCCTCAAACTGTGCTGTAGTTGTTGGCCATTGGCATGCTAGTGGAGTAGATGTAGTGTTGGTTTTTTCCTCTATCTTACTGTATTGCATCCAAGTTAGAAGGTCGATCAAGGTGAAGACGACGTGGAAAAGCAATTTGATCGTATCGAGTTGTCTTCCACTAGGGCTAAAAGTCGACAACGCCGTATAGTAGAAAGGCAGCAATTTTCCTCACGCAAATCCAATCGTTCTCTTCAATTATCATTGAATCCAAGTTGTTGGTTGGCAAGATTGCAAGCGTTTACTTTTCCTATCTTGCTTGATTGAATACTACACCAGTTCGTGATCGA